GCTAATGTTTTGACTCACCTAGGGGAAAACCGAAGCAAAAGAGAGAGAGCTCATTGCAGGAATGCCAAAGGGGCTTCAGAAGAAGCCAGAGTACTCTGATAAAGGAGCGCCATCACCCTGGCCACATGTTCCTGAGGAGGCTGAGACATCCATGCCTAATGGAAAAAGCACTACACTACAAGGAAGACAATGGACATGGCTGAGGCTCTGAGAAAGTCCTCCCAGATCTCCTATGCACACCTAATTTTGTTAGTCTCTGCAGTCAGGGAGATGCAGGTAAATGTTTACCAAGCAGCTATCTGGTGCAGGAGCTCTGAGAGCAACATTTGCTGGTTTTTGTGGTGTAATTCCTCCCACCGTGGTCAATTTCAAGATACCTGTATGCAGGTGACACTTGGATGGGAAAAGGTGCTCACTGGGCCATAGCATTTCCGAGCACAGACAGAATGATAAAAATAACCTCAAGAGAATAGATGTGTTGGTTGTTCTACTGCCTTCTATTTCTTTGCCAAAAGAAACTGTCAATGAGTCCTTGACTGATCAATATTGCATGTCTCTGTTTTCATGAGAAACCACTTTGAAGATATCAATATGTAATACAACAAGCATTGTTAATTTCCTACCACTTTGCTTGTAACTCTGTATTGTCTGTACTGTTCTTTTGCTATTTTGTAAAAGGTTGTCTGTCTGTCAATGTTTTCCTTTTATTTTTAAAATAAAAAGCAAATCCTATAGCAGCTATAATTATATAGTAGAAATATCTAAAGGTGGAGGCATCTTAGAATAAACTTACACAATCATGGCTTTTTAAAGTAAATGTACTGGACTTATAAGATATGCTTAAAATTTTTGCATCACTAGGTTTAAAGTGAAATTGATTATTAGTTTTCTGTGTCATCTTCCTCAGGCTCTGTAAAAAAAAAAGAAAAAAAGAGTATAGATGTGTTAACATGCTTAGGAGCAGAGAGTTTTGATTATTTACCTTGTATTAAATATGGCTTACTCAACTGCAACTTTGTATACCTTAATTTTAATAATTTAATTAGGGATTTAATAATTCTTAATAAATTATTAAATACAATTTAATTATAAATTAAATTTAGCCATCTAACCATAAGCTTTTATAAAACAATATTAGACAGAGCCAGCATACCACTGTATAGAAAAAAATCCAGTCCCTTATACTTGAGCTAGCCAGAGAGACAAAGCAACCAATGTGAAAATGCCTCAGAAATGAAAATGGTACCTACACAGAAACCCTGGAGAGTCAGGATGACCAGTCTAAGACACTTGTACACTACATTCCTATTTAAAAGTGAATTTGTTTATATGTATCCTATTAGATACTGAAAATAACCTTATGCAGAGGTTAAACTATCCACGTGATAATTTCCATGAGGAAATAAAGGATCAGAGAATGGAAGGGAGCCCAAAACTGACTCCGTTGGTAGTGACGACAACCCCTGACTTGTTGCCGGTCTTTGCCCTTCTCCCCACCCCTCTACCCATGGGCTCTGCGAGGGGCAGCTCCTGGCCAGCTCTGCCTGAGCTCAGGCTGTGGAGCGTCACTGTGAAGGCTCACCGAACAGATGTCACCAGACAGGATTCACAGCTGGAGTGATTATGCCAGGGCCCTGGAACCAGGGCTCTGGTTTACAGTGTAGCCCAACAGAGAATATTAGGCAAGAAGCCACACTCACATCTTCCCTGAGACTTTTCTCTTTCAGAGTTTGTGTGGCACTTAGAGGCCACCTTCCTTCTCGAAAGACTGGAGAAGACACAGCTTTCTGAGCCCGCCCCACCTCTCCGCCCTCTCAGGCACAAGACGGTGGTATCTCTGGCAAATTGATCCCACAGTGAGCAAGGGGACTTTCAACGCAGTTCTCTGAATTATAGCTAAACCCCAAGGCTTCCTGGACACTGAGAACAGGGGAAGGCCTGGCTGGCCACCCAGGCTGTGTGTGCAGCATTACCCAGCAGCCCCTCAGAGGGCTCCAGACAGGCAGCCACTCCTCCCACAAACTGGAGCTGCCAGCATTGGATTCCAGACAGGACCAGGACCCCTGCTTGAGCCTGGGATCCCAGACCCCAAACACAAGTGGCTGCAAAACCCTCCAGTGCAGAGTGAGTCCATCTCCCACTTTCCATCTTCTCCCAGGTTTGCTGCTATGCCCTGGCTTCTGGGTAGGAGACACCCTGTTGCCCAGGCCACACCCCTCCATCCTTTGTCATTTCACATTTTCTGGCATGTCCGTTCAGTTTGCTTGGCTCTTTTAAACATCACACTTTATGGCCTTTTGCAGTGTAATTTTGTTCCTGTCCTGCCATTC